CACACACACACACACACACACACACACACACACACACACACACACACACTCACTCACAAACGTCCTCAGAGATATGAAAGGGAGACTGGGGTCAGAGTAATGAACCTTATAAGAAGATGAGGGCTCTAGGCTGTGTGTGTGTGTGCGCACACACAAAAACACACTGTTGGTGTACACACGTCTGAATTTTTTTGTGTGTGTGACACACAAGTGTTTTTGTGTGGGTTTCTGTATGCACAGGATGGTGCTGTGCAGGATTTTGGATAATGTTGGAGCTGTTCCAAAAAGGATGGATGGATGGAGGAATTTTTTTTCAGAGCATATTGTTAAAAATACCTATATCCCCCCTCAGCCCCCTCTCACCAAAAACCCCCAAGGAATCGAGTATGCACCAGTTTTTTGGTTTTCTGTGTTCTGGTAGGAAGCAAAAAATGGAACTGTTGATCGGCTTGACTTCACCCCGCTGCTGTTGCTCAGCCAGGTCTGGCCAACACTGCAGCTATGATGAATGTCTCATCTCCAGGAATACATCACAAATAGCAAAACTGTACCTGCCCTGAATAGCAAAGTGTATTTTCTTCTGCAGTGTTGCTGGAAAACAATTGTGGACAACAGGGCTCCTTTGTCCCCATTCCCAGGTTTTCCAGGATCCGCTATTCATTCCAAACAATGGCATCCCTTAATTTCTTTTTTATCTTCAAAGGCATTTTTACCCCTTTTTGAAACACATGAAAAGGCACCTTATATTTTTTTTAAAAAAGAGACACGTGTTTTCTAGCTAAAACTATGCAATTACATTCTCTTCTGAAGACTGAAAAAGGAAAGGAAGAAATAGGAGCGGGAGAAAAAAAATGGTCGACATTGGCCTCAGCTTCAAGCCCATAAGTATGTGCATGTGAGAGAAGAAGTCCGTGGACTAGTCCTCCCCACCTAAGGAAAAAAAAAAAGACAGACTTGTAAGCTGCCCTAGTTGGCAGCAATACAGACGAGCAGACAGACAGACTGACTACTGTCCAAGAACACACAAATATTCAGCGATTTACACCACAGGAACTGGAGCAAATAATGCAAACACACACACGGCACACACAAAAGGTACAGCTCATTTTTCAATCTCATCTTTTTAATGGAAAAAAATGAGTCGAGGGAAGAGAGAAAAAACTGGGTAAATTGAGAAAGCCGAATGAATTCACAGAAAATGACTGACAGCAGTGATGACAGCAATGCGGTCACGGTCCACATTTCAAAGCATTCCCAGGTACCAGACGGAAGAGGAGGAGAAGAAAGAGAGGGAGGAAAAGAGGAGGGCGGTTAAAAAAATGTCCAAGAAGATTGCATCTTCCTCTCGAGGTAAAAAATACAAATTAAAAACTTGTCTTTATCCAGTGTTGTTTACAACAGACAGTCACATTGGAAAACAAAAAATGCAAAGATTGAAAATGAAAAGTGCACCCGCACTCACACGCATACATACTTACAATTAGTTTCTTATTTTTGGGAAAACAAAAACAAAAACAAATAAAACAACAAAAAAAGTGCAAGCAAGATCACAGAACAACAATTTACAACAGAGGCCTAGAGTTGCCCAAAGGCTCAACCCTCTGACTGAGCCACCAACAGCCTGAAATGATGGTGGAAGGAGGAGATGGGGGTAATGGCATCAACTTGAGACCTGGAGGCTCCTGGTGTGGCTTTGTTGGACCCCACATCCCCACCCTTACACCACCATCGCTTTGCTTCATCCATTTGTACAGAGAGAAGGCTCAAGTTTCATTAAACTTTCCAAAGACCCAACAGGGCTTCCCCACCCACCCCAGATAGTACAATCAAAGTTAGTTTGACTCCACCATGCTTCTCCTTTTAAGTGCCAGCAAAGCTCCAAATATAAAGGCTTTTCAGTCACAATGACATCATCATTATCATCCAAATCCCAAACATTTCCATTATATTTAATCTAACAATCACCATTAAATATTTCCACTTCATCATCAAACTATTTCCACACAGACATGCTTCAAGTCTAGGTGTTAGCTCTGATTTGTAAATGGAAATAAACATTTCTTTTTATTGGTTGCTAGTGATTTTGTCGGCAAATGTAACACTAATTTAACACACCATAAAGTCATACAGTATAATCCGAGTGCCTTGCGTGAAATGTGTACACTCAAGTGCACTTTAGTTATAATCTGTACTCAACATTACAATCCTCAAGCAGTGTTGTGCCATGCAACTGGTTCCACTGAGAAGAAAATGTCTGCAGAATAATAAATAACACACTATTTTGGTTCGATTTGCTTCTTTCTTTTTTTTTCTTCACTGACCTTCTGTGGATATACGCTTACACTCATACACACACATGTACTCACATATATAGAAACACGCACTCACACACAGAGGCATAAACGCACTTGGAGAGCAAATGTAGCCACGCTGTGCAAAATGTAAAATTATTTTTTTTAAAGGTACAGAACCAAACAAGCAAACAAACAGGAACTGAACATAAGTTAAAGGTTTTAGTCGTCGTTATTTAAAAATGCATTACCGACTTTATCAAAATATGAGTCATTCATGCAAAGTTGAATTGAATTGAGGGGGTAGTACAGTATTTGCACCTACTGCCCGTCTGCATCAGATGGCAAACACGAGTACAGTTCAGATACATTCTAGCGAGCCATCTGATCCTGTGAATTTCCTTTCAGAGACATGATGCAGCATTAAAATGAGACGTTCATTCAAGCCGAAGCTGGCTGAGTCTGAGCCGTTTCATACTCTTACCTGTACACAAAAATATGAAACACTGTGTAAAATGGCAATTTGTTGCCCTTAATTCAATCCCCATATTTACAGGTATTGTCTCCAAACTCAAACCTCACATCCGCACTAATAAATCATTTAGAAATGTCCCCATAAATCAGCACTCGTACTTCACCTGTCTTCTAAAAATGCTTGTTAAGTTGCCATGAGAAACCCAGTTAAACTGGTTGAGGACACTATAACGGGTCATTTCAATAAGAGAAAAATAAAAGATATCTTTTCAGTGAAAGCCCATGAAGATGCATGCTGGCTGACCATTTAAACCCACGTTTCTCCACACTTACACCAGATTCTTTAGCGCAGACTAGCAGTGTTAGCATAACTTCTACAACAACATATTTTTCTTATCAACCCCAAAAAACAGAAAAAGAAACAAATCAGATGGCTTCACAGAGGCTGTCATATGTCATTTGAATGTATACATGTTAACAAATGTCCAATACAGTTTAATTTATTTATATTTTGGTGACACTGTCTCTCTTTTAGACAGGTTTGATCTTGAAAGAGCAACCTGATTGAGTATTGCTCTATGCTAGCAACACAGAGCTTAGCATATCCGCTAATGTAAAATCAATGACCCCTTAACATTATTCTCTGGTGATCATTGTGCTGATAATGGCAAAGACTGTGAGAGAATTAAGTACTCACATAAAAATCTATTTATGCGAAGCTAAAGGTGGAATACAGTTTTATAAAGACAACACCTCTTAAGGGGTGTAGTCTGTAATCAGGATTGCAACTATTATTTATTACAAATTTTTACTTATCTGATAAAAGAGAAGTTAGAGTGATGGGAACAATGACTGTAGAAACGTTTTCTGTAGTCATTGGATGGGACAGTTAGCTTAATCTCAAGACTGGGGAAACTACGGGGGCCCTGAGAGGTCAAATAAACTGCAACTTAAGAAAACACCAGAAAACAGAAAAATGTTTCAAAAGCACACAAAATACAATGGCAGTGTTTTGGGGGAGACATTAACCAAAACCTGTAAAGGACTCCACAAAGAGACAGACACTTAAATGAAGCTAAGGATTCATCTGTGTTACGTTTCGTTCAGGAGAAAAAGATACAAAATTTGTTTTAATTGTGTGACTTACCAAATACTGTAGATACACACAAAAAATACTTGTGTTTCGTTCATTATATCTTGTTTGGTTTTTTTTTTTAGTTTTTTCTTTTTTTTCTTTTAACTGTATTCTATTTAACCTTTGTTGTATTTTTTGAAAAACACTTTCAAAATATTGAAATATATTTTGAAAAAGGGTGGAGTGCCCACTCCAGGTCAGGGACTAGACCCTGCCCCAAGTGGAGGAGTTTAAGTATCTCGGGGTCTTGTTCACGAGTGATGGGAGAAGGGAGCGGGAGATCGACAGACGGATTGGTGCAGCAGCTGCAGTGATGCGGACGCTGTACCACAGCGGTCCCCAACCCCCGGGCCTCGGACCGGTAACGGTCCGTGAGTCGTTTGGTACCGGGCCGCGAGAGTTGAGGCTCAGATGTGAAATGTCTGGTTTTCAGGGTTTTTATCGGTTTTCACCGTTATTTTGTTATCGTTTTTATTGTTAACTCGGTTTTCCTGGGTCTTTTCACGTGTGTTATGAATAAATCTTCTTTTTTCGGTACCGGTACTAGTTTTATTTTGTTGTATTTATCCGCGACACCTTAAAGGCCGGTCCGTGAAAATATTGTCGGGCATAAACCGGTCCGTGGCACAAAAAAAGTTGGGGACCGCTGCTGTACTGGTCTGTTGTGGTGAAGAGAGAGCTGAGTGTAAAAGCGAAGCTCTCAATTTACCGTACAATCTACGTCCCTACCCTCACCTATGGTCACAAGCTGTGGGTAGTGACCGAAAAAACGAGATCACAAATACAAGGCCAGCCACCCTTCGGAGGAAGGGTGGCTCAGAGTAGAGCCGCTGCTCCTCCACATCGAAAGGAGCCAGTTGAGGTGGTTCGGGCATCTGACAAGGATGCCCCCTGGGCACCTCCTGGGTAAGGTTTTCCAGGCATGTCCCACCAGGAAGAGGCCCCGGGGCAGACCCAGGACACACTGGAGAGATTATATCTCTCGGCTGGCCTGGGAACGCTTTGGTGTTCATAAGCCATAGGAGGTGGCTGGGGAGAGGGAGGTCTGGGCTTCTCTGCTTGGGCTGCTGCCCCCGCGACCCGACCTTGGATAAGCGGAAGAAAATGGATGGATGTATTTTTCTATTTCTATTGTGTTTTATTCATCATCAGTTTTGTTTTGTGTGCTATTACAGCATTTTAGTATTTGTTGGTGTTATTTTTCTTAGCTACAGTGCATTTGACCTCTCAGGGCCACTGTAAGAAACAGTTTTCCTGGCCGTATGTCTGTGTAGGGTTTCACTCAAACAGGTAATGTTAGTCTAAGACCCTTGAATCAAGGGTGGCTGGACTTCTTTACGTTTTTTGAAGATGTTTCACCTCTCATCCTGGCTACCAGCACCTCTAATGTTTATGGATTAACGTGTAATATAAAACAAAAGGTTGTAAATGATAAAAATGATGATCTTCAGTGTGGGTTATGTGCCATACTATTCATTTCTTCCATACTTTCCAGAGTCACTACAAGATGAACTCTGGCATATAAGCCACGGTGAAATGATGAAACAATTCCTTTAACACTTTCTTTTTGTCTTCACTCTGTCAGAATACCTGGACGAGAAAATGCCGACTTTCCTTACATCCACTTGACCTCTGCTACTCAGATCCTCGCACAGATCCTGCCTAGCTTGGAAATGGCTACAATTATTGTAGTTTTCAAATAAAGTCCCACAAACAGACATGCACACACACACATACACACTAACACACACCCAGTTTGGCCAAAAGAGTTCATATTACAAACACATTATTGCGAATTAAGTGTGCTTTCTCTTCGATTTCAATTACAAGTTTTGAAAAAACAACTGAAACAACAACATGCGAATGAAAAAGAAATTAAAAAAAGGAATCATTAAAAAATACGTTTTTTTGGCCTCCGCATAGGCCAGACAAAGATCTGCATTGTCCACACATTGATCCTACATTCTTAACACACAGATAATACACACCAAGCACCAGGAGCGTTTTAGTCTCGCATTGGCTTCACAGTCATTGTTTCATCGAGGGAAAGGGCGAACAAAGGTCAGGTAAAGGATTTGTGAGGGACGCTAAGCCTAAATTGTATTTTTAAATACATCGTTTGATCAGAGATAGTTGATTAAGAGAAAAATCCTTCTCTCCTTTAATCAGAGGATCACATCCGCACACTAAAAACCACCGGTGTCAATCCCAAAATGCATCATTAATTTTGTGGAAAAACCCCATGCAACGAGAGAGGACAGGGTGAGGTCAAAGATGGTCTGAGTTCCTGACCAGAGACTCCGACGTGTCCGGCGAGGGTGAGGTTTTATGAGCGCGTAGATGGAGAATCAGTCAAAATTCTGTACAATTCACTCTGCCTTTAAAAAACTGCATGGAGCAGGAAACCCTGCAGACAAATAATGGAGCAGAGTTCAGTGTCTCAGCTCTGCCGTGCACGGTAAAGGACAGAGGGAGTAAATGAAATTTTGATTGGGTGTATATTTCACAGTTGACTAACACTGAAACATACTGCTCCATGGTTATCCAGGGTCTTCAATGCCCTGTCCTCTGCCTAACACCTATCCATCTTATTAATTCTCGCTCACTACTTGACTGAGTTGCAGCTGAAGATCATTAGGGCTCATCCGAGGGCCCTTATGAGGGTTCCTGTGGAGTAGTATGCCTCAGAAGTGCCCTTGGCAGGCTGAAGTGTGTGTCTTGCTAGCAAACTTATTGCCAGCTGATGAATTCCTCTGTTGAGACAGAGAGAGAATGAAGGGAGGGGGGATTCAGGTCAAGCACAACAGGGAATTCGAGTGACCAAAATAAATAAATAAACGGGGCGGAGGTTGGCTCGCCACTGGAAAGACGTTTCGGGAATATGCATCGCCGTGGTTGCTGTGTGCTCAGTCGTGTCAAAGGTCGCGGGGACAGAACGTAGAGAGAGTAGCGGCGAGCAGATCAGAAGAGGAGAGGGGGGGTAGCCTCTGAGGCACAGTGAGGGGGGTTACGGAGAAGTGGTTTTGGGAGAGGATGAAGGGCCAAGAGGAAGAGGCGCAGCTCAGCAGATTAAGTGAGGGTGATGTAGGCTGAGGCCTTCTCCTTCAGTTGTCTTAGACACAGATGACAGCTCCAGCTCCCTGTACAACACACACACACACAGATTGGGAGTTCAATCACTGCTATTGTAAAGCCTTGTGGATTAATCCCTCATTTCACACAGAGCGTTAAGTAACACTGTAAATTAAAGCTCCGTGTTTAAACACCACACGCTGTGCCTGTGGTTTGTGGGTGCAGAGGATCTGACAAGTAGTTTGGTTTGGATTCCGGCTCAGGATTTGTGACATTAATTAAACATAAAGTCGAGACAGATGCTGAAATGTTCTCCTCAACCTTAACGCTTCAAAGTGAACCCAGACTAAAGGTGGTACACAAATATAAGTTTATCATCGACGCGTGTGCGGAGACCCGAAATTAACTGACTGCTGCTGAATTTTAAAAAATATTTTCCTGTAAATCGAAAGCATCGCATGTGTGGGCAGAGCTTGACACTGTTAGTGCGTGTTGAACACAAGTGGCACCGCTACTGTATGTTCAGCCAAGTGACACTTTTGCCATGGAAACAGATTATCTTTCTACTACTCATTTCCATGACAACGCCATCAAACATTTTGAGGCAGCCATCTTATGTGGCAAATGACAGTTTGATTTAAACAGAAGTACCTTCTCCATTTCTGTAATCGCAGTCACGGTATTTTAGACCGCCGTATTCAGATTAAAACATTCATTCAAAAAAGAAAAAGAAAAAAAAGAAAAGAGTCCTGAGGGTCATATTCTTTTAAAATGCCTTAAAAATCAGCACGACTGCTCTGACTGCAGGTTTCACTCTCCTCATTCTACCTACAGCACAGATAGTTCCATGTCTCTGTAATGATAAAAATGTTGTCGTGGTTGTGGAAAGTTGTGAAGTCTGATAAAAATGAGGATGCGGTACATTGTGTAGCTTTGCGGCGTGCATGCGTACCCTCTGGCGGCTCAGACATCGGAGGGCTCAGACAGTACATGTGATAGCCTCTGTCACAATCGTCACAGAACAACAGCTGGTCCTGCAAAAGAAGAGAATTAGTGTCGTTAATCACACGTGCGCACGGTCTTGAAATCAAAGCCGAGGACTGCAGCGGCAAAACATAGTGTGTGTAGTGCTTTAACAATGATTTTGTATTTATATAATCAAGCGACTGGGGTGTGATGAATATGTCCCTGGTTGTTTTTTTTTATTTCATATTCATAACTTCAACCTTTGTTGTGGCAGGCGGTAAAAAGCTCAACAGGATCAACAACTCTCTTTCTTTGTTGTATGTACACTAGATGCTTTAACCAGCACTTTGAGTCCTGCATTGCAGTCTGTGTAAATTTAAGCACCTTCAAAAAAATCTGCACTTCTGGAAGGGTTTTCAGTAAAATTTGTTTGATCTCAGTAAATTGTGGGCAGCACTATAACACCATCCTTCAGCCGTGCACTGTCTTCATGCACTCAAGTATTTGAGCCAGACATCGGCCTCGGATAACTACAAAAATAAATATCAGCAGTATTCACTTATACCTGCTCTGCCTAAGTTTTTCTGGCATTATGTATGAGCTGTACATGTGTGTGTGTGTATGTTTGTGTGTGTGTGTGTGTGTGTGCAGCCACATGTGCTTAGATTTAACGTGTAGTAGAAAGTAAGAGCCTACGTCGTTCTCAGAGGTGCCACACAGGCTGCAGGACTTGCACTCGATGCACTGCCAGCGATAAGTCCTCACCGCAGCTGTCATGTTCACTGTGAACTGCAGACAGGACGGGTGGCCTGGGTGCACACACACAAACACACATACACACACACGCGCGCACACAGGCACACAGACACGCGTTCACTATTTCTGTCTGTATTTTGAGGACAGTCATCCAGCTGTTTCTTCCAGCTGTAAATTCATTTGCTTCATTCAGGTGATCTGTTTGAGGAGAACTTAGCAGGTATTTTGCAAGCGACTGAATGCTTGCTTGGTTGCCGCTCCCCCCTGCATATTTATGAAGAATGTAAATACGGTCTTGATAATAACCACAATTATTGGCATGTGAATTAATCCATATAGTTGCTTTAACTTGGTCTTAGACATAGACTGTATATAAAAGATGGGCAGAGCTTTTGGGTCTGAAAAATGAAGCTAGAAGTGCCTTAAACCTGCATTATTTCTAACTGTCAGCAAGAAGGACGTCAACTCCATAGAAGTCTATGAGAAAATGAGCCGACTTCTCAGTTGATTTTGACCACATGATCTTCTCAGCCACTAATTTCAAGTCTTCATCAGTACTGTTTAGAGTAAACTTGTTGATAAACCTTCAGGTTTTCAGTTATACTCCTTGCTTGTTCCAAGTGTGGTTGTCCTAAAACACATATATAAAGGCAGTTTTTCAGGAAGTACAATTTAGTTCAAGTAGTTTAGTTTAGTTTCTGTGTTTTTTAACTCGCCACGGCTAACAATGTCTTGGTGCTTTATGGATGCACCTTGCTAACCAAGATTGCCAGCTAGCCTTAGATGATCAGCTCTTTGTGTTGGTAAGATTATCAGGATATTCCCAGTGGCTACATTCAGCTTTTATATAGAACCCGCTGCCCTAGTTAAATAAAATGACAGGGAAGTAATAACAGCTTTCATAAACTGAAGTCCACATTTCAGTCATTTGGAAAACAAACTATCTCTTCTTTTCTGCAGTTATTTGAATTTTTCCTGATATTTACTGTTACATGATTATGAAAATATAAATGTTATGTCATCCACACTTTCTGACCTTCCAGTTATGAAGGACCATACCAGTGTCTTGCATGCACTAGCCCAATCACTACAAATCACATAAACCCTTTTTTTCTGTCCTTTTTATTTTTCAAACATAAATGTGAGAAGAAAAAAATATGTAGTACATGCAGTCAAATTATAAGTACACATTCTGCACCACTGCACCATCTGCTTTTATACAGATAACCGAAATGTACAAACACATCTCACACCAAAAAAAATGAGCCTTATAATAAGAAAACAAAAATACAAGCACATTAAAACAAATACGTTCTCTACTCTCTCCACTAAAATAAACGCTCCTTGCTATTCACAGTCAAAATACATGCTAGGAGGGGGGTCGTTCTCTCATCAAATCAGATTCTTCGTATCAAAGGAAAGAGGAAACAGACAATCATTATAATATCACACTTGGATGATGCACAAAAAGCTAGTGTTGAAGGCAGAACATAATATTCTAAACACTTTTGTGTTTTCTTGCCAGACAAGAAGGTCACATTGAGATGACATTTTATTGGTTCCATTCATATTTCAGTGCCAGCAAAATATCTGCATGAACCGCAGAGCAGAGTGTTGTGATCAGCAGAAATGACCACATTAAATTTGTAGAATAAGAGCTTCAGTTATACACAACATTGTCTCTCATAATGCACATCAACTTTCCACGCCTTTATACAAAAGTTTCCTCTATTTCTGGTTATGGACGTCAGCAAAAACCTTTTACCAACCATATTTGTTGCTCATTATAACCCATGAAGAATCAGTTTCTTTAAAAAATCCAATCATTATTAGGTTTTGTTGTTTTAATGAATACATTTGAATTGCATGAATGCAGTTAGCCCTGATTTGTAAGTCGGGATAAAAATGTGATTAGGAATGAGAAACTGTCTGAGAACAATTTACATTACAGCCACCATTTCCCAAAACACATCATGTTGCTTAAGTTGTTTGCTTTCAATGTATTTTCTGGTTTCCAGAGAGCCACTCTTTTCCATCAATTTGCATACAGCGTTCAACTTCCAGTGACTTATAATCATGAGATATTACATCAAAGAGAAAGGCAATAATCTGCTATTATTTAACCACAGTTAGTTTTGGCTAGTGATGCTGTTGTTTTCTCATTGCATCATTGTTTACGATCATTATAAGAGGTAATGTGCTCTTTTCACAGCTCAACTTGTGGTCAGAAGCATGAATGTGATGGTTATTTATGTCTTTTAATGGTTTCTTTGATGTGTTTGTTTTCTAGGGTGGAATGATTGCACAGCATACATCTTTGTTGACTTGCACAAGTTTGATTTTATTTTGGATTTTCTCCAATCCACATGGGGTCAAAATTATACATACACTCAATTAAATCTTTTAATAAGTGCTGCTAAAGGTTCTACGCTCTTTTAACTTGACAAGGCCCATTATCTTATTAACTCAATAGTCATCATGATTGTCTACAACTGGTAGTTTCTCTTCACCAGCATAAGACGAATTTGTCTGACAGCACTCACTGTGAATACTCAGATACTTAATACTCAGAACAAAGGGAAAATCCAAGGAACTCATTAAAGAGTTAAGAAGGAAAACTGTTGTTTTACATAGCTTGGAAAGGTGTCTTGGAGTCTAAACAACTGAAGGCTCCAGGATCATCAGTTCAAACAATTGTATGCAAGTACAAGTTATTTGGATGTGTCATCGCTTTGCTAAATTCTGGAAGAAGACTCAAACTGTCACCATCAGATGAGAGGAAACTGATTACGATGTTCAGGAACAACCTATGAACACCAAGGCTCAGCCCTGACACACGAACTAGAAACTGCTGGAACACCAGTGTCATGGTCCACAGTGAAACAAGTTTTACATCACCATGGACTCAAAATGGACCAAGCAAGATGCCCCTGCTACAAAACCTAAGAACACTATACCAGTTGTTGGGCATGATAGTGGTACCATCATGCTCTGGGGCTGTTAGTATAATCGACTCACCACGGATCACCACGACTCGACTCGGATCAACTGTTTTTTTTATTACAATCTAATATTACCTAACATGCATGGTTGTCGTCATAGCAACGTGTCAGAGCGTCCCGCTTTGACACCCTTTGTTGTAGCAACACAAATGCTACAACAAAGGGTGGACGTCAAGGCGACAATATACCTGCTGCTCAGTCTGTGGCTTTTCGTCAGACTCAGGGATCACGGCGTTGTTTTTTGTAGCCATTTCCCTCATAGCCAGGTTTTAAAAAATGCCGTTTTTCATTTCCGTGAACGAGTCATCAAGTGATGCTACTGACCAGCCAATCAGTGGCATGCAGACTAGAGATGGACCGATCCAATATTACGTATCGGTATCGGTCCGATACTGACATAAATTACTGGATCGGATATCGGAGAGAAATAAAAAATGTAATCCGATCCATTAAATATCGAAAAAGCACCTCACAAAACTTGCGACATGGCATAACTCGGATCATAACCGTAGCACGTGGCAGCAGTATGCATCACGTGATAGAGCAGCTGTGTGTATTTGTAGCCTCTACCAATCATTTCATCTCCAAGGAAATTATCCCAGAGAGAAGTAAAGCAAATGTGTAAGTTCATCTCTGAATGTTTGTAAAGCATTCCCGCGTTGAGCTTAACAACCGACATATGGAGCGACTGCCTCTTCTCTCTCCCTCCCTCTTCAATACTACTTCAATCATGAAACTGATCAATGATCAGCTGATCGGCTTTTCTGTCGTGTTTGTTTATCGCCCACTTCGCGCCAGAAAGAGGAAACCAGCGGCTGAATAACAGCAGCACGTTTAAGCTTGATAATCTGTTGTTAGAATTTATTTAATATTACTTTCTACACCAGGATCTTTTTCTACGTAGCTGACGGCTGGTAACTGTGCAGGGGCGGATCTAGGAAAGTTTAGCCAAGGGGGCCGATAGGGCATGAACAGGGAAAAGGGGGCACAAAGACATACTTTTCTTTCTTATTCTCATTTAAAATGTCTATCTTTTAATAAAAAAATTATTCTAATCTTACACCCAAAGTTTTAATCTGATGTAAAATGTATAGAAGTCCATTACTGTATATAGTAACTATTAAGTCTAATATACCCTAGTAAGCTATAGTACTTTTTCCTTTGGGAAGGTACCATCTGTGCAGTCTGCAATTTTGTTGAAGAAAGATGTTGAATCTATTTAATTATTCTTCAAAAACAATTCTGTGCATTTTTTTTTTCACACTGCATCAAATTAAAGTTGATTACGTCAATTAAGCATCATGAGGTGGACAGTGGGTGGTTTCCTATTTTTTTATTTTTTTTATTTTTTTTGCTGGGTGTTTTAGAACCCTATTAGTTAGGTTGCTTACTCTTTAAAATACCAGAATAGGGAGGATGGAGTAGGTTTAAGTTTATTAGATTGATCAGTGTTGCTGAACTATGAAATATTTTGGGTGCAGTGTATTTTTTGCATACAGGTATAACAGAATGGCTTTAGTGGGGTTTTTTTTAACTTGAGTATGAACTTATACAAAAAGCAGCAAGATATTAGAAAAACAGTTTTATTGAATAAAAAACACTATATCGGATTCATATCGGTATTGGCAGATATCCAAATTTATGATATCGGTATCGGTATCGGACATGAAAAAGTGGTATCGTGCCATCTCTAATGCAGACTGATGACGTTAGATTTTAGTACCTGCTCAGATTGCTTGGAACCCCGGCCGAGTGGGTACTAAAAAAGTACCAGCTCCTATGGCCTAATGGAAAACCCTGAAAACCTGGGCAAACCGTGCCGAGTCGATAAGTAGATACTGATGGAAAAGGGGCTTTAAATTGATTAGTGTGGGTGTATTTATATATTTGAGCCTCTACCTATACTGTTGACCCTGTGTGGATTAGAGAAAATCCGAAAAACAATACAAGTTGTGCAACCAGCTCTTGTTTTTTAAAATTATAAAAAAACGTGTGCTGTATAATCATTCCCTGGAAAAAGCACGGTTCAAAGAAATCATGACATTCATGCTCATGATGAACATATGAAAACTTCTGATCTCTTTGAGTTTTGCAAGTAACTCTTTAAAAGAAAAGCCATCAGCTCACTGACAATCATGTTGTGATGATACCAGTATTAATGTTGTGTTCTTTGGTATTGTGACCACTTTAGTGTCTGGGCAACCACTACTTTAAGGTTTCAGTGTGGTTACTTTCCCTTAGCTATATCCAAGTCTGTGCAAACTGATTTTTAGGTAGTGTAATTAAAGATAATCACTTGCAGTTTGAAACACTGAAGCAAATGGCTAGTAAGGACTCTAGTTTTACTGTACATCATTTGTATTACATGGGCTAAAACAAAAAACACTGGTATGGTCCATTTTAAGCATTAATGAAAAGAATCAAAACTTTATTTTACTTAAAATGGGCCTATTGTGCTTTTTTTGTTACTTTCTGTCATATAAAGTTATCCCTTATAAGGTCATTTGAAGCACAGAAGCCCCACCCACCCCGTGATTAAAAAGTCTCTTAATAAGATGCAGCCAATCAGAAGAAAGTTCCCTTAAAGAGTTGGTGCCCTTAAAAGGGAGGGGAGTTGAAGTGGAGTGTATCAAACTATGAATGAACTTGGTCAGTACCGAGGTTCAGTATACGACAAGTAATGATTATTTTGAACTGCCAATCGTGCAAAGCTACAAAGTTCAAGAATAAAAATCTGGAAATTAGCAAAATAGGGCCACATTAAGTAGTAAACATGAAATCTTAAGCCAAGAAATTCAATGTATTAAAACTGTGCCTTAACAGCCATTCTGCCAATCATCCCCTTCAGTGGTGCCCTACCTGAGCGTCCACAGTCCGCACAGGAAATAAGGTCTTCAGGACAGCCGGTCTTCTTTGAGCCTCCGAGGCAAAAGTCGCAGTAGCCGTTGGCAATGACTGAGCCATCCGCTGCTTTCTTGGCTGAGAGAAGAAAAAGAAAAAGGGGGTAAGAAAAACTTTCTCCCAACTGGACTCCTGGGGAAAAGAGGATGAAGAGCAAGAGTGTAAATTCATAAGTCAGTGTTATGAAATGTTGCCTCGGGGTGAAGAGGCTGTATCAGTCTCTCGACAGTGAGACAGATTGAAGAGGGAAAACCTATAAAAGTCATATCAGGTGAACAAAGCAACCATCACTGAGGTGTGCTGGGAAGCATGGTCAATGGAGTATTACAGAATACGAGTGATTAGAGATAAAATGATGAGATAACAAAGCAAAAGAAAGTAGACGTGTAACTAAGTCTTGGTCACCACTCATTATTATATATTTACTTTGGTAAAATAAGCACCAACGCAGGCCTGCTCTGGAGCCTGGGACTCTCCAAACACTGGCTCACCCAGTGAGGGTGGGACCGAACAGAAGGGAACGTCCGCTGGGAGCCCCTGGGGTCTAGCAAATATTTTCAGGAGTGGAGGAGGAGGGAGAGCAGAGGAGACAGAAAGAGAGAGACCGTGTGTTCCCGTGTATGTGTGCGTGTGCTTGTGGATGTGTGCTTGTGTCCGTGCATGTGTTGGGGGGTGCCGGGACAGACCTGCCATCATGCTGAGCACGGAGAGGCAAGTGCTCCATGTGAAGCCGTTTCATAATAATTATTAACAAAGAGAAATTCCCCCTGCCTGCCTGAGTGCTGTGTATATACTGTAAGTATCACTGTATGTGTGTGTGTGTATGATCCACACGTACCCCTTATCTCTCTGTCTGACTGTTGGTCTTCCTGCCTGTCTGTCTGTCTCCTGCCTGTCTCACTACTGTTGATTGCATAATCATTTTAATGGAAGCAATCACATAACCACTGCAGACTATTTGTATGTGTGCTTTCGTCTCAAAGATGTAATGCAGCGGACGGGTCCTTCACAGTGAGTCACCAGGCTGGTGCACTGGTGAATATACAATAGAGTGGATTATACAGGTACACACTCACACACATACAAGCTCAAGTGGAAAACCATTCATCCCGCAGGAAAATAAAAGCACTATAAGCAATACTGTGGTTGTGCTCTTATGAGAGATCATTAATCCATCCATTTATAAGGGTGGAGTCTTGCTAGGCCGGAAAGGGGAGGAGAGGGTGAATTTGATGGAATTTGATGTTGGAAAGGGGAAGGTGGAGTGAGAGGAAGAGATTGGGTTTCTACTCGAAAGGGTACGTCTTTAATCCCCAATGAGAAATAAAAATAAAAAAAAAGTCCTGATCAAGATGAGAGACTGGCAAACATAAAGACAGACACATGGGAGAGGAAAGGAATAATGCACTGTGTCTGCTACAGCAAAACCATAAGCAGTAGGCTCTATATCATGAGATCAGTGTAGTACTGTGCACCGTAACTCTGAGCCTGGTTATGCACTTTCATACTCTATATTGTAGAATCATGAATACTACCATCTATATTGGGTTATCGACTATCAACAGAGATAGCAATGACAGTAGATTTACTGTATGTGTAAAACAGTGTCTATCTAGTCCCCTAGCATTTCAATATAAATGGCTGCAACCTCACATTTCTCAATAATCTCTTCTGCTAGTGGTGATATAATGAGATCTGCTGGTGTCAGCTTTTTCAAATGATGATAGTTTAATTGAAGAAAAAAAATTACCTGCACATCATCAGGCTGGTGTGCTGGCAAAGGTTAGACAGATATGTCCTGCCCTATTTTTCCCCCTTAATTAAAAATCATCAGCCAGCCAGTGTGGTCTTTTTTGTGGATCCAATTAATGAAATGAAACGCCAACAAAAAAAATCATAATCACCAATATATTCATCTGTTTTTTTCTTACTATAGTATTGACCAAGTTGCAGTTAAATAGTGGTAAAATTACATTTTATCCAAAATTAAATAAATATTAAAAAATACAGTTCTTACATTTTCAAGTACATTACAGCAAGTCTAGCGGTGGAGGCAGTTATCTTGGCTTAATATTACAATCAGAAACCTATCATGTCTGTGTGCTAGCATGTTAGCATAATGTTTTAGTGCTTTTGTAGCTATTAATAATTCATCAATCATCATAAAATTCCCACCATGTCATTATACTTGCTGCTTACTGTAAACTGCTGGCTGTCTGTTACATAGGAAAAAAATCTGAACACAGCCCAGGCATACGAAAATTCCCTGTTTTAGCTATGCATGCCGGCATGCTAATATTTGCCACTTAGCAAAATAAAGTACGGCTGAGGCTAGCACTATCCTTGATCGCTGCTGATGACCAAAGGTATTTCATTCAGAAAAATTATCAGGGACAGACATCCCATTCAAAGAATCCTAAATTCATATATTGGAGATAAAGTATCTGAATTTCAGGAGCGGGACCACGCCTCCAGTTCTACAAGCTGTTCGTTCTCATTCACGTGCCCCACCCTCCCTCTCCTTTTCAGTTCTTTAACGTCTTCACTTCTATTTAGTACATGGGGAACTGCCAGGCCTGAGAGCTGCCGCCAGTCCCCTTCGTGGCCTTCCCCAAACTGCAAATCAATTCATGTCTAAGCCTCACCTTATCTACTAAAATGCTATCAAACCTAAAATGAGGACATGGGCCCAGCGAGTAAATATGCATTTAATACATATAACATTCATATAAAGAAAATCACAGCAAGAGCAAAGATGGTGGTAAAATTTCCCTTGCTTGGGAAAAAAAAGCTTTAGAAAACCTTTTATCGAACAAACACGGCAAACTTTTTTAGTGGATCAGAACTGACTGGAGATTCTTAAAATGTAATTTTTATGTCCAAAACAAATAGACAGTACTTCACAATAATTGTCCAAATAGCTCCCAGAGGTATTCAGAATAGCAGCAGAGTGGTGAGGCTTGCTTCAGCTCATCTAAATGTTTGTACAAGTGTTTTCAACCCACAGATGTATAGTGATAAGTCATTGTCCTGCTATGTCTCAAATCCATCCATCCATTCATTTTCTTCCACTTATCCAGTTCAAGGTGGCTGGAGTCTGTCCCAGCTGCCGCAGAATGATAGACAGGTGCACCCTGGACAGGTTGCCAGTCTGTCGTAGGACTAACAGAGAGAGACAACCATTCCCACTCACGTTCACATCAATGGGTAATTTTAAATGAATAAATAACTCCACTACCTGCAAGTCTTTGCCCAGAGAGAACCCACACAAACACGGGGTGAACATGCAAACTCCACACAGAAAGGCTACAACCAAATGGTGGGCATTCTTGATTCCCGTGAGACAACAGTGCTAGCCACCGCACCACGGTGCTGCCCTGTTACGAATTCACTGTAAATAAAAATGTCAAGCATGGTATGGTAAGACTGGAGGAAAAGTCAGAAGGTGTTAGCACCATACTTATAGAGACCTTCCAGTCTGAACCAATGCGCTGGACCAATTAATTCAAGCTGCCACATGCTAGCGTTGATCCTGGGCCACATGTGCAAACCGTGTGACGATTTGTTGCTCCATCAAAATGAAGCACAGGACACAGTCGATCAAGAGCGCAATGATCCTGGATGAGGATGCCGCAGCTATTTAAGTGTATTTACTTCTAAAGAAACCAGTGCAGCCAGATGTTTACTGCAGGAGGATGTATAAAGCTGTAGAGACATATGCGGCTCGCAGGCCTGGAGCCAATGCAAACATGTTTTTGTCTTCTTGTTCTGGTCAAATAAATTGCTTTTATCTTCACTCCTTTTATTTGGGCTCACCGCTGCTGACTGGACCTCACAATTCCTGGCGGGATAAACTAGACAGACACACATGTGGATACACACACAACACATTCAAACTGTATTTCATCTGTGTCTCTGTAGTTGGGTGTGCACGTGCAGATCTTTGTTTGCCTTTGAATTTCTGCGTGTGTGTGTGTGTGTGTGTGTGCTAGGAGGCCCCTGAGAGTGAATCAGCAGGTCCTGATGCATGTGAGTGAGTCGGGGCTGCCCGCTGGCCTGCCTGCGTAGACAAAAAAACTCATCAATGATTAAACGCCTGTGGCCATGTTTCAGAAGCTGCCTGCAACCACAGACACGCCATTGCCGGCAAATGGTGGGAGGGAAGGAGGGAGAGAATGGTGATAGAGAGAGCGAGACAATAAAGAGGGCTGAGCTAATGAGCAAAAATAAAAGAGATATATACCAAAGACTGAAAAGACTGGCAATCATCAGGTACCTTTCCTTCTCCTTCTCTTCCTCCTCCAGAACCCCTCAGTGCGGTTGGCTCTTCCCCACCTGTCCCCTTTTTTCCCTTCACCTCCATCTCCAAAATTTTAACCTGCCTCAACCATCCTTTCCTTTCCTTTCTTTCTTACCTCCATATCTCATTCCTATACCTGACTGTCCTTTCCCTCGCTCCCTCCCTCCCACCCTCCCCTCCTCTTCCAATTACCAGGAGGAGTATGAGCAGAACCGCACACTTCACAGCTTTCAAGTGTTGGAGAAAGATCCTCCTGGGAATTATCCAGCAAGAGATGAATCCTCAAATGCTCCTCACCCCCACCTCCTCTCCCCTGCTACAATACCTACCCTTCCCCATTCTTCCCCATCCCTGTGCTTATAATTTCTCTCTCCCACCCCGTCTCGTTTTCTCTCTCCTTTCCTCCTTCACGCTGCTCCTCGGTAACCTTGTGTTTTTTCGCCCTCCAAGCAACCTCACGCCGTTGTGTCTGCACAGCTGAGGTGTGTCACATTACTTTTTGCAGACTAACTGTATTCGCTCAAAGTTATTTTTGTCATGTTTGCTTTTTTAAAATTATTGTTATTAATACTATTATTAATGGTTTCATGAAACTGAGGATTTCTCACAAAGAAAGAGGAGAAGGTGTTATTTTAAAGTTGCTTTTTCATGTTTTGCTTCCTCACCAGAGCATGCATTACCAAGAAAAGCAGCATCTTTTTAGATGCACATCACTGCCCATTGAAAAAACAAGCTAAAAAGGTTATTTAGTCATAAAAGATCTTGTTTTCACCTTTGT